ACTCTGGTTCTCTTCAGGAGACTTCCAATAACAATATCCAATCGTTTATGTAACCATTTTTGAATACAAACAATTTTTTATTTATCCCCCCATTGCCTTTTCTGGCATTTTCTACCGGATTTAGCGGACCTATAAAATATAGTTTCTATGAAAAAATAGTAAAAATTGGTTGTTATTATTGGGATTCATCTGAAGAGAAACAGAGTTCTCCGGTCGAGAAATATTGTTTTTCAAGAATTCGTCTATACCATTTCTACGAAAAGTGGTTTTTTCCCCATATAAAATACATGAAAAAATTTGAGCGCTTTTGGCGACCTCTAAATATTTTTTTGTTAAAAAAAAATTATATTTTTTTCGGTATATAATAATCCTAGGGGGTGGGAACATACAATTTCCGACTTTACTTTTTTACATGCATTTACATACAATGTATTAGGTACTTGACTTGAAAATAAAATAGCAGATTTTAAGTTGCCGTTTTTTTAAAACCGTTAAAATTGACGTGGAAATTACCCCTGCCTGCTGGCCATTGAACAGTATTGCCAAGTAAAATAAATATAATAGAAATTTATTAAACCCGGTTGGGTTTAGTGGCAAAAAAATAAGTAAAATTAATAACTTAAAAATATTCTTTAAGGAGCAAAGGAGAGAAAAAATTTTTTCCACACCGCTCCAGCTAAAAATATTTGCTCCCTCACCCTTGCAGAAACCCCGATCCGCAAGGCGTGGATTAAGTGCTTCTAAAATTTTTTAGCACCAAAAAATTATATTAATTAATCAAAATGTGCTAATCAGGGAACGGATTTTTAGGACCTAAAAACCTATAAAAAAGGCATAATAAAATAAGAAAATCGGCTGGAAAAGGCAAAATAAAATAGCGAAATAGGCAGGAAAAGGCCCTATAATTCGCAAAAAGGCAAAAGAAGGTACTAAAAAAGACAAAACCAGAAAAATAATCAAAAAAATTATTTTTTTTTAGAAATTTTTACATTACAAGTAAAAAGAGAAAAACTATGAACTATTTTCATTATATGAAAAGTTTTTACTTTGATTCTTTGCCTGTTTTCTCCTTTCGAGTTTTAACTGACAAAAGCTTAATCTCTATAGTATAGTATAGTAAATAATAAATAAATAAATAAATGTACCACACGTGCGCTCGACGTGAGTTGATACAAGTGGCGCCCAATTAAATTATGGAGCGTCAATGTTATTGTGGCTTATTAACATTTTATTTTTAATATTTTTATTGAGCTTTGTACCACGATTGTTTATTAGGAAAATTTGAAAAAGCAACAAAGTCTAATTTTTCCTAAATAATAAACAATCGTGGTACCCAGCCCAATAAAAATATTAAAAATTATGGAACATTTGAAACTTTCATATTAAGTATCAGGAATAAATAAGTGCTTTATCTCGATATAATCACATTTTTAAAAGAAGAAAAGGCAAAAAAGGCAACATCAAATGTGTATATATGGAATCAGGGAAAGCTAAATCGTGGATATTATTAATCGAATATATCTATCTCTTTAGTAGATATAAAATAAAATCCGTTCCCCGGTGATAATAAACACGTAGAGTTTTAGTTGAGCGTTATCAAATTATTCGCTAAATGCAAAATTACGCTCATCTAAGTGTAAATGTATGTGTGGATTTTTTGTTTAAATAAAAGCTCTTTGTAATAATAAAGAGAAGTTGTTTAAAACATACACATACACCGCAGTGTTTGACAACTTTTTGCATAAAAGCCAACCAATAATGACGTAATTGTACGCTCTTTAGCACACAAATAAATTAGCATAGGCGAGCATAAAGTAGATTCATGCTGCTAAAATACACTTAAATATCTCTGTTAAATATCTATACATATGTAAATAATTAGAAGGTTCAGGAGAGGTCAAAATGAGTTATGTCGTCACAACATAAATTAAAATGCATAGAAATTACTGACTTAGTTGCACACATATGTATATACACTAGGCGACAAATGAAAGTGTACACCTTGTTCTAATATAATATGCACAATTATTTCAATGAAAAATTTTTTGCATTAATTACTTATGAAAATATATATATGTAGTTCATTCCATAACATATAAATCAAAGTTTCACATTTTATATAAAGTTCACAAAAATTCAAAAAATGTTCGAAAAAAGTTTTACCTTGTATTCAGAATTTCTAGTATGCAGTTTTATAGACGTCCAAGTTTCGAACCGCTAAAAAATCTTGTTGAATTTTGAGATTTTTTTTTGGTTACGGATTTTTGCACTTTTTTCCATATGGATAAGCATGAATTTTTTATGCAATAAAATTCAAAAAATCAACGCCAGTTTTTGTAATAACAACATCGTAAATGAAATGGAAAAAGTCGTGACTAATGAAAAAATTAAAATTCACTCTTTGATTTATATTCTTGCGTATTTTTTCATTTCAGGTATAAGATATATAAAAATCCGCAAAAGCAGTCTCCAAAAAAAATTCTCAAAAATCAACGCGATTTTCCAGCCGGTGGAAACTTGCACTAATATTGAATGCGCTACTGAACTGCATACACAAAATTCTGAATAAAATTTTAAAATTTTTATGAAAATTTTTTCGAATTATTGTGAACTTTATACAAAGCGTAAAACTTTGATTTATGTGAGTTGTATTATAGAATGAACTATATTTTCATAAATAGTGAATTCAAAAAATTGTTCATGAATATAATTAATTTGTCGCCTAGTATAAATATATATATATGTATGTATATGTGGCATGTTTGAAAAAACAATTGGCTTAAGATAAATATTTTATTGTTATAGTGTCTAAATGCATGAACATGTTCATTAGGGCGGGTCAAATTTATTCTCTACTTTGTTTCGGCGACTGAAGTATTCTACTGGACGTTTCTATAAGCTATGGTTTCTTCGCTAGAGCTTCTCAAAAATGGCTTTGGCCACGTTTTTTCCCAAAATTCCAGGACGATGGACTCATTTTACCTACGGATTCGCAATTACCATAAAAAAATCTATCAAAAACAGCTTTAACATTTACCGCAACCAAATTGTTTACATTTGTGTTGGTCTGAGTTATGCCTTTATTTTCGCCAGCATTAGTTAAATTGCCATAACACGAAACTACCAAGTCGGACAGTAATAAATTATTTGCTTTAAAAAAATCGTGCAATTGCTCGTAATCAAAATCGACACATATAAATTTTCTTAAAAAAAAAAATTACCAAATATACATAAAAAAGGAATTGGCTAGAATCCAGTAAATAAAATTAAAAATAAGGAGGCTAGAAATCTATCTTAGAGCTATACTTCCATAGACTTTTTTGTTCAGAATTGCCAGAAGAATACTTCAGTCGCCGAAACAAAGTCGGTTATATTGCTTAAGAACAAATTGACCCGCCCTAATATACATATGTACATATATCAATAATAGTAATTCCAAAAAATAAATCTATTGGTAACCTACCACAGCAAATTGCTTCGAATTGAATTTCAATTTAACCAGTACTTGACTTGTTTAAGTAATAACTCAAGTTTTCTGTAACAATTTTTGTACGACGTGATCAATCACCCTTTCCAAAGTTCATATATTTTCTACCAAACTTTAGTGAACACAAGTAATTAAATACTCTTTTTTATATGAATGTACCATATACATATGTAATATTTTTCTGTTGTCAAAAATATTCATATTTCACTGTTAGCGCTTGCTTTCAGTTTGTTCGTTAATTAAAATCAATTTTCTAACTAAATAAACACTCCGACGCTTAATCACTCATTCCGATACGACGCTCACTAGTCGATTGTGAAAATAATACTAATCACACCGATTGTGGCGACTACGCCAGAGTGAGTAAAGAGATGAAAAGTTTTCACAATAAATTAGACACAATTTAAATGCAATAAATATGTAAGATGTACATATGTATTGTATATGCTTGGTAGTAGATACGTTTTAAGTATATTTTATATCTGCGTATTATTAATTGCGGGGAAATACACGAGAAATATTGTTTAAGTTTTTTTTTCTTTAAGTTATAAATGGCCTTTAGTCAGTATAGATGGATATAAATAAATGTGGCATATACATACATACATACATACGTATATGTGCACTCATTCAATTGCATGCCAAACGGTAATCCCCCTCTTTAACGGCGCGTTTACACCCGACAATATTGTCAAGACAATTATGTCAAAATGATGTGTTTGTTGTAAACACGCCGAATTCATATTGCAACAGACACATAATTTTGACCTAATTGTCTAGACAATATTGTCCGGTTTAAACCCTAAGTTAATGTCTATCAAGGCAATGACTTAGTACTATTAATAACGGCTAGAATTTAATTTGAAATATTAATGTATTTGCTTTTTTTTAAACATAAAACTTTTGAAAACATGTTTTCCCAAGTATAAATTTTAATTTGACTTCATTAGTTGCTGCAGCATTGCAATTTTGAATTTTTCAAAAATACTTCCCTTGTCCGAGTATACAAATTTTGAATACTGACCTTGCTTGAGCAAAATTATATCTCAAGCTGGGAACCTCATTAGCGTTTAGAAAAATTAAGAAACTTCTAAAATAGCCTATGCAATCACTATAAATACATACATATCTCACGCTCAAATTTTCGATGATGCCAATGGTTTTCGAAATTACGATGATTGTAAATTGTTAAACATTTTCTATACAATATGCCATGCGCCGTTTTGTTATTTCTTAGATGGCACGTCGCACAAATCAGCCGCTCGACGGCTTCCAATCAATGTGAACTGACCAAGCCGATGTACATACAAACATGCATACATATGTAGATAAAATTGTGCTTCCAAATTACAGTACGTGTGAATCGGTGAATGTATAAGACTATAAGGGAGTCTGTGTGTTGAAAGAAATGTTTGAAACTTTGCCGTTATCAGCGAAATTACTAAACTTGAATTTATATTTTTTCCATGTGCTCATTTTATTTTAACCCTCTTTCTTACTCCTTTTTCACCAGAAAATAAAATAAATAAATAAGATGACAACTGCACAAATTTTTTCATCATAAGGACCAGCTATCAGGAAAAAAAATAAAATATAACAAAACGACTACAACCAAGCTTGAACAAGTGAGCTAAAGGCAAGAAAAAAAATAGAAGAGTTGAAAAGTTGGTAGACGACGAGTGCTGAAAATAGCAAAGCGCATACGGGACGAGGCAAGCAAAATGGATGTGAGGTTGCTGTGAAAATGGTTGGAACGACGACAATTGCCAGTTGTTGCAAGTAGCGCAGACTGTCAAAAACTTGTCAAACCAGCACACACAAGTGGCAACGCTCAAGCACCGACAACAGATACGACAAGAGAAGCGGCACGAGACAAGTACAAGAAAACTAAGAAGCACAAGAAGAAAAAGCAGAACATAACACAAACAAGTTTCATTATTTCCCTTCTTCACCAAAGTCGCTCTTTTTTTCTTGGGCGACATGAAGAACAAAAGCAACTAATAAATCCAACAAAAGGAGCAATACAAGCCGCACTCGAATAAAACATTAAGTGAAGGACATTAAACCGGCAACTAACACGAAAAGGAACATCAACCTGACCCAAAGCTACTTGAAGTCTGATAACCCCAAAAAAGCAAGGCAGAATCACATAACAGTGAATGAGTTTTGGGAAAGGTGTAGAAAACAGGGGTAAATAACTTCTGGTTGATGTGAATAAATAAACCGCAGTTGGATACATGTGAGCACAGTGAGTGTGCGAGGCAAAAAGTGGGCGCATCAGGGGTGAGACACGTTTGCTTTTGTAGAAGCGCACTGATTGTCTTCAAATAATGGAAACAATAATGTTGGCTTACTATATGTGGTCATGTAGATAGTACTAGAATTTTTCAAATACCAACAACAAAAATAAGTATCCAAGTGAGAGAAAAGCAAGGTTATTTAGTCTAAAGTCTACCCTATAATCTTATGCACACAACGCCAGAGGAGCGCATAGAGGTGTGGTTATCTGGTATATAATATAATGTTGCCCATGGCGTACATTGTTTGCCTGATTTAGCATCAAGAAAAAGTCACAAACAGCATAGCTGCATCAGAATTACTTATAAATGAACAAGTAAAAAAAAAAAACAAAACAATTACCTCAGAAAAACCGCAAAAAAGAAACGAGTAGGCGAGCTCAAATCAAAACAAGTTGCAGATAACAAACAAAGTGGTAGATAGTTATCCATAACAAGTGCAGGGAGGAAGTAAAAACAGCGAATAATGCGCAAGGACAAGGCGCAGCGGGCCGGCCAAATAGCAGGCAGAAGCAGTCAGCATAGTGAATACCCAACAAAAGCACAAGTGTCCACCACAACAATGCCACAGCAACATCACAACGCGCCCAAGGCCGTTGCAACAAAAGCAACATCAGCAGCATCCACATCAGCGCCAGCGCTGTCAGCAGTCGCCACAACATCAGCAACAGCAAGCACACCCACAGCGTTTGGTGAGGACGGTGTTGACTTGAGACATACAGACAGTATTTTCCACGTAGCGCTACAACAAGAAAAACCCAATCAAACAGTGAACAGCAGCTGCGGTGCACTGCTGTCCGCAACAGACAAAGTGACGCACAAATTACATGCACAACAAACAATGATGCCAAATGCAGTAAGAGCGGATGCAGCAATTGAATTGCCAGCAGCAACAGCAACAGCAACAACAACAATAAAATCAACAAACGTGCACGCTAGTCGCCTGCCGCCACTTGATAACGACTATGATAATAAGAGTAAGAACAAAAGCAGTAGCAGCATAAGCAGTACGTTGTTGACACAGCAACCACAGCAGCAGCAGCAACAACAACAACAACAACAGCAAAGCAACATAGTTACCACAAAATCATTGGCAGCAGCTGCAGCCAAAGCCAAAGACAGCAAACTCCACAAATCAATATTTTTCTCCACGTTCAGCAAATCATACCGCTGGCCCGATCCCAACAACCCCGACAACCGTAACTGCGCCACACTTATCCACTTTCTCAATGTTATTATTTTCATGCTGTGCCTCATTGCATTGGGATTGTCGCTGTACAGCATTGACCGGCATACGCGCAACGAACATCGTTTGAGGCAAGTGTGGCAACTGGACGAACGAATAAATGCACTCGAGCAAAGGCTGCAATTTTATGAGCAACAACAGCAAAAGAAACAACAAAACGATAAAAATGTGGAAATGCTGCTAAATAACGAAGCAGAAAATTTGCATAATCAGCTAGAAGAGCAATCAAAGCAGCCATTGCCTGTAGATGTGACACAAACATTGCACCGTTTGTCACGACAGGTGAACGATTTGCATCGTTTGCGTCGCGATGTTTCGCATTTGCAATTATCGCGTCGACAACAGCAACGCAGACAAGCGGCTCTGACGACGGCGACCACCGCCGATGGATTACTATTTCAAACAACACAGCAAACGCATTCGGGTGAATGTGGTTGTACAGCAGGTGAGTGATGTGCACGCAACCTAATTTTATGCGTATACATACATACATATACATATACATATATGTATGTATTAATGAAACCTTTATCACCTTTTACTATCTAAAGTTGTCATATTTCAATTACAATTTAACCAATACTATTATCTTTTTAAGGGCCATTAACTTATCTATTTTGAAGTATGTATAGTGAAATCATTAGTTAAAATTAACTACAGAATTTTCTATAGAACTTTCTGTAGTTAAATTTAGCTGATGATTTAACTGTACTGTAAAATAGATACGTTAACGGCCCTTAAAGTGTTTATACAAAAAATATTGCAAAAGAGTAAGTTGAAAAAAATTCAATAAATCCAAATAACTTCTTCGAATACGAAAAATATATGCTCTTGCTTTGAAACATACTAGGAGCGCCAGTTACTGTCGACCGTTTTTCTAGTATTTTCGAGGCCCTTGGAGGGGTTTTCTAACTTAGCACATAGTTTCAAATTACTTATCGGGAAACTTCGTGCTTTGGAACTAAGACGTAACTACTACAACTTTTAACATTTTTGCAGGCAGTGGCAGGGCTTGGAGTTTACCCCATACATTCCAGTTTGTCATACATAATTCGATGAATTTCAAACACCTTAAAATCCGATACCTCAACAAATTCGATAGCTCGACTAATTTCGATGATTTTCGATAGATTTCTATAAATTTCGATGACTTTCAATGACTTCCGATAAATTTTGATAACTGTTCGTTTCGAAAGCTAGATAAATTTCGATAACTGAAAAATCGATAACCCGATAAACTTTGGATAGCTCTATAAATTTCGATAGTTTTGATATTTTGATTTCGGTTAGTTTTGATAGCTCCAAATTTTTCAAAAGCTGTCGACAAACTTTGATAACTGGTTACACTCTGGTGATACGATAAAATTCGATAACCTTGAAATTTCGATAGGGTGATGTATTTTGAAAATTCCAAAACTTCGATTCGATAAATCCAATAATTTCAGTTAATCAATAAATATTGATAACTCGATAAGTTCAATGAATTCGGTCCTATACAATAGCTCGACAAATTTCGTTAACTCTATAAAAAATGATAATTCAATAAATATCGATAACTTGATGAATTTTGTTTACTTGACACATTTCTATAAGCCCATAAAGTTTTATAGCATTTTCTGTGTCTATAAATTTCGACAACTCAATAAACATTGATCAATTTTAATAATAATTGCGATAACTCAATAACATGCATAACTTGATAAATTTCGATAGCTATAAATTTCGATGATTCTATAAATTTCGGCAACTTGATAAATTTCGATAACTAAATTTTTTATGACCGAATTTACTTTGATTCCTGTCGAAAAATTTCAATACATTTTCTTACCCTTTCGTTACCATAATTTTTACGTATTTTCCATTATCTCCATTTTCGTCTTTACCTTCCCTTTTTCCTTCTCGTTTTTGTCTTCATGGTGATCATTTATTTCTTCATCACCACATTCATCTTTATTACAAAGTTAAATTTCAAATACTAGAAGTCAAACAAAATCAGAAAACAACTAAAACTGAACAGGTTTCAACCAGAACTACACACAAATACGGAAATTTTCAAACGACAAAATCGGCCGCAATTTTTAACCAATTTTGAAACCATACTCATTTGTAGAAAAATACCTTTTCAATGGTGTTCTTGGCTTTGAAATCGGTTCGGTAGTTAGCGGATTAATATATAGATGTATGTATGTATACTGCACACTGTACTCTGTACATTGTACAGCTATCCCTTTAGATTTTCTAAGTCGCTATAAATATTAACCACGGCCATATGAAGAGAGGAAATATGAATGTACATAAATTATATTTAAGCCAGTGTTTAACTCTTTAAACAGGGAGAAACCCTATTCAAAACCTTAATATGCAAAGTAAAAATTTGACATTTGAAAGACCAAACAATTTGCAGTAGGTCAGAACACATACATAACATACATAAAAAAAAAAATTAAAAAAATATTCCGACGAACTGATAACCTCCTCCTTTTTTCGAAGTCGGTTAATAAGATTTATTTATGCACCACGTGCGACATAATCGCCTCCATGCTTATTGCTAGCAACTGAATTGGAACGTGAATATCTGTAGCAACGTTTAATCCTTCCCATTATCTGATGTGTTACCTAATCACATCAAAATCATAATTGCGTTAATGCGTTCCAGTAATGTATGTATGTACATACTCGAACAACTAAGACGTTATTGAGCTTTTGCTACGAGAAGCGCTTCAAAGCAGGCATACATATGTACAGTATGAAATACTACATGCTTCAATACTCAAGCTTATGTACATGTTCATTTAGATAAATATACACAGATGTTAACAAATCTCATAGCCTTGAAGGATCAATTATGTGTGATGTGTCTGTTGTGATTATTGATGCAAAGGAATAGCGCACGAGCTCAGGTTCCCTAATTGCGTACATACCATTTACACGTTTGCGTGTGCAAGTAGCCAGCTAACCAACATTTGTATCCTACGAGCATATCTGAGCCCCATACTCGTGTAGGCAAAGTCAACAATTAGGCCAACCGGAGGAGAGGCAGTTTTGTATAATTAATTGTCCTAGAAATAAGCTGAGGAATACATAGTGATAGGGGGGAAAAATTAATAATCGTTTAATCAGTTAATTGATTAATCGAAAGCATTCGATTAATAAATGCAAATAGTCGTAAGAAATTAACCGATTAATTGGTCGTTTCGATTAAATTTAATAAAAACCATTTATAAGTTATAAAACTGAATTACACACTGTGCAAAAATTATAGAGCACCACGAGATTTTTTTTTTGGTACTTAATTTTATTCATTTTTTTAAATATAGCTTATTCTTTTGTAAAAAAAGTACAAAATAAATATATCAAACTTTGTGCAAATAAAAAAAAATTAAAAAAAAATTCGAACTTTTTAATTAGATTTATTAGAAAGATTTTTAGTATGCATTCTTGTAGCCCATTAAATTTTTGTATAAAAATTGCTAGTATCTGACATAACCGTTGATTTTTATAATTATTTTTTTTTGATAACGGTGTTGTTTATTTTCTGCCATATTTGGAAAATATACCTGCGTTGTAATTTTTTAGTAAAATATCGTTTAAAAAATTGGCAGAATACGAGTTTGTAAAAGACCTCCCAACTAGTAACATATGTATGTACTCGGTGGATTGACACTTTTATTGTTGCTAATATTATTGAGTGATAAGAGTTCAAATTTTTGTTACGTAATTTTTACTCACACATTATTGTGTGACGTAGTCAATTTTTGATGGTTTCTTTTCGATCATTTTGAAAATTAATCGGTTAATCGCTCGTTTAAGCGAAAGGAAAACTTCGATACAATTAAATGGTTAACCGAATGACCATAAATGATTATAATCGGTTATTCGATTAATCATACCATCACTAGGAATACATACATACACATTTTAATTGATAAAGTCAATGCGATTTTTTGTGGAACAAGGAATTATCTCTAAAGTCGATCTTTTGAACTTTATAAGTTATGTTTTTCTTGATGCATCCTTGCCAACTTTCACTCTCACTTTGATAGATACAGTATCAGTATACATCCAGACATGTTTTACTCTTTGTTTATCCATTTACCAATTTGAGTTGTAATTTTCCTTACAAATACATGCACATTCATCGGCTGTTGAAGCTCCTACGTACGGAGCATACTCTCTGTCCGCCTCTGCCAAAATTGTTTGTTGCTTCCATTTTTCATTTTGATATTTAATTACACAGAGTATGGTAAATTTATTGGCAATATTGAGATTAAATTAATTGGAAAAGAGCTTTTCAAGAAGACAAGTACGGTATTTGCATTTTTGTGAGGCCTTTCCGAGGAAAAGAAATTAAATGCCTTCTGAGCATTTTAGGCATACATATTTACATGTACGGCTTATTAAAGTAAGTACTTTTTAAAGTGAAGGAAGAGAAGCATGATTTTATTAAAACTTGTAGCAGTACGTGGATATATCGACCCCTACAACCGAAATTATCGCATGTGGCAAAAACCAAAATTTACAGGTGAAAGTTTTTTCTACTTTTCTGTGTTCTAGTTTACAATATCGAAACCAAATTTGAAGTTTTTGTATTTCACATAAACGGTGTTCCCATGCGGCGTTCTTACAGGTAATTTTAGAGGCGATTAGCTGAATCAAAAGATGGCTGCCCTCAACTTCATTGAAAGCGATTAGTTGAAAGGCCGTTCACACCTGTCGATTGTTGCTTGTCAAAGTTGCCTGTAAAATCGCCTCATGTAAACACCGTAATACAAAAATTTCGTCCACAAGCAAGAAATGCATTGTAACATACGATAAAATATACATACAATCGACTTTTGGCGTAGCTATAGGGATTACGGCTAAAATATTTTGCCATTTGATGCGTTGTGGAGTGTAGAACAAATTTGCATCAAAAAGTCAATTTTCAAAGAAACGGCACATGCGATAATTTCGCACACAAAGGTAGATATTTTGTTTTATTTGGAGTAGCTGTGGTATGCAAATAACTCGAAAACCTTTCTTACCAACATTTCCCGGTGGCCGTCAATTGGCGAAACTTCGCATTGCAAAAAGGAAATTGGCGGAGGTTTTTCCTGCGCCCGACCTCTCCATTTATTGGTGTTTAGCTTGTTCAAAGCTCATGTCACTTGGGACAAGTACCTACATATTCACATGTATAGTTTCCCGTCGATAAAATTTGATTATTCGAGGATTACTGTCGGATTGAAATGCGCCTACTCACACGCATTACAAGAATTTTAAAAAGTTGTATGTTGTTGTTTTTTCTGTTGGCACTACTCTTATTGGTTTTGCATAAATTTGCATAGACGCTAGAAAATATATAAATAGCACAACTACATAAAAGAAATACGAGTATGCAGTAGGGTGGTCCAAAAATGCATGCGGGAATAAAAAGTTCAAAGTGTTAAGCTCCCGCCCCTTAAG